AGGAACGATGCCACCTCAGTGAGCCTCGTCAGCTTTGGGGCTGGCAGTCTGTGTTCACCCCTGTGGCTGGGAGCCCCTCAGTTGATGGGTCTCCCAGCCTCAGGGGAGCACTTGACCATGTGTTCAATTAATGACATTATTAGAGCAAGCTACAAAGTTTCTCTACATTTTTTGTGGAATAACTTTGTAGTTTATTGCTTGTTTTATCATGCCATGAATTGCTTGAATGTGTAGCTGGGTCACAACTTAAGGCACGATTAACTGATTAATCATGCCTTAAGTGTAACACGTAGAGGGGGGCCCACATTACCCAGGATTCAGTTCCAATCTCAGACTGCTTAGCTTGCAAGATCAGATGGGAACAAGTGCATTTAGTCCATTTTGGCCACTCATTACCCAGGCTGATGCAGCTTCCTCTGTTGTGCCAGTGAAAATACTGTGTGTGAGAGCAATATCTCATCTCCTCTCCACCCACTTTGTGATAATATGGTTGTCATTGGTCCTACTGTGGAGCATGCGGCACCTTCTTCCCTTGCATTTCATAGTAACACAAGGCTCTGTCACAGTCTCTGTTTTTTTCTTCTTTTATAATTTAGAAAATATTTTTCCAAGTCCTCCTTTTTCATTTAATCTTTGAGCCGATATGTATGTAGCCAACATATTACACGATTGTGTGCGTGGGATATTTTCTTCCATGTGCAAAGACAGCACAGGAAGCTCCGTTTCTCTGCAAGCATTGGTGAGAGAGAGGCTCAGGAGTTCAGATATATTTTCTCATAATTGTTATCCAAGGCAGACTACTATTTCTTATTTGGCTCCAGTTTCCATCTTCTTAAGATAAGAAGATTTTTCTTAAAGTGAAATCAAATGAAGATGTTAGGCAGATGAAGATGGTGAAAAACACTGTTGTTTCCTTAAAAGCTCCATCTGACCCCAGAAAGACCTGGCTTTATTATTTCTAAATATGTATTTTAATATTATTAGTATTTTTTTCCATTGAAGACAATTTATTTAAAATCTTCAAACTTGTGGAGTGAAACCAACCTTGGATTTGAAAAAAGCTAAATTAGTAGTTAGTAGGTGTCGGCAAATGCATATCCAGCTCATTCTGCCTCTGGCAAGTAATTAGCTGCCCCCAATTAATCAGGATGAAGCAATATGTAGGCACTCTTTGAGAAATTAGCCTTTGGTTCTTGTAAATGATTCATGAAAAGGCAACTTCAGCTTTTTGCCAGCACAGAATAGCCACTTTCAAATTGCATATACTTTAGTCAGTGCAGTCAGGATAAGGAAATAGGATGTAACTTCATGTCAAACAGTTAGTCTGTCAAACACACAAGCAGTGAAATGGTTTCTACTCCAGTTTACTCACATTCATCAAAGAGCCCTGACAAAGTGGATTTTTTGAATTGGCATAAATTCAGCTTTTTCCTGATCCACAAAAATCACCATCTATTGGGTTCTGTGTATTGAAAAGATATTTCTAAATGTCATTGCTTTATCTGGTTCCTTTCAGTAAATGTAGTGTTCTCAGGTGATACAACATACAATAATCTCCCAGAGCTGAATGCTTCTTGATTACATGGAATTAAGTTGTTCCTACTGTCAGAAATCACTTTGTCCTGATATGAACCCCTTTCAACTACATCAGAGAAATAAGTCAGTCTTGGAATCTAACTGGTGTCACACGGAAAGCCATTTTAACTGGTTGTTGTAATTTAATAACTGGCTGCATGAAGCCTTCAACAACTTTTTACTCACAGTACTTTGCGGTGGGTTATGATGAAAAGAAAATCAAAATTGTACCATATAAAACTGGATGCCAGAGTCCATATTAGCTTAAAACTGAGCAGGTTAACAGAATATGCTACTATTTGCTATCCTTTTTACAATCCTATAAACGTGCGTAATGTAATGCCTTTCCCTTCTAATCCATATATGGTGGGAGTGAAGCAACGACAAAGAAGTCTCTCTCACATTAATCTGAGAATGCTGAGGCTCCAATGGAGGTAGAAGTGTCTCTACAACTAAGAAAACTTAATAAAAGGTTGCAGTAAAATGGATGTTTGGCCCTTTGTACACTGATGCATTAAAATAAAGAGGATAGCATGCCAAACAAAATATATATTGTTCTGCCAGCCTAGTGGTACCATTGAGATTTAGTAGGTTCCAAAATACAAGTCTAAGGAGTGTTTTCTCTAGAAAAAATTTAAAGGTTTTTTTTCCTTGTTATTCTCATCCTTTTTACATGGTATTCTGTAAAATGCCATCCAACAGCGCAGCAACTTAAGATATATATCCATTGTGCCAGCTTAAGAAATCCTCTTCCACAGTTTGCTGTGCTCTGTATTTCATGATATAAAAAAGTTGCACCATAACCCCCCAAAAATCCTACCCTCAATCCTTGAAGCTTTGCAAGTAAAATAAATCTTCTAAGGACCCGAGTGATCAGTAATGACAAAAACAACATATGCATTAATATTTCACTTGATAAATTGCAAAGATCTATGCATTGCTTAAATTTGTCAACAGTACCTTTCCAGCAAAGTGCAAGGCATTTGAAAAATTACCTCTCGTGTTTCAGGCAGAAAGGGAAAAATCACTTTTTCAAACAATGAAAACATTTCCCTTATGGATAGTTAAACCAGAACCATGGTTTTAATTGGGAAGAAATTAGGACAGGGATGTTCCTACAGCTGACCCTTTTAGGCTATGGTTGAAATATTCACATATTGGATTATTTAAAAGTAAAATTCCTATGAAGTATCTCATGTAATGATAAATGCTCTCCCTTGCCTAGAGAGGAGAACTGTGTGAGAAACTGTTTTTCCTCTTGAAACCTTGTCCTCACCTGGCATTCATGACCTTATCCTCTCCTGGTTCTTCATTTACATCTTTAAATGATCGGACAGTATGTCCTTTGGTGGATCTTCCTTAACCCTTTAGCTTTCTGTGGGATGTCTCAAGGTCATATTCTTGGTTCCTTTTCTGTTTTCCTCTACATTTTATCCCAGTCTCATACACAAAACCAGCTACTAGGGCTGTGCAAAACTTCGGTCCCTGATTTGATTCGGCGGAGATTCAGCGGCCAGATCTCTGAATCCAAATCAAATCAGAGGACCCTTTAATCTCTCCAATTCAAATTGGAACCCTCTGAATCAATTTGGAGAGATTCAGAAATTCGGACATAGACACAGCTTTAAAAGTTTTTTCGACACATCTCAAGGTAGCAGGGGCTTGTGAATCCTGAGATGCTGGGGTACATGGAGTGTCTCACAGAAGCGCGGGGGGCTCCCCAGCATGCTCGGCAGCAGACCCAGGAGTGGACCAGAAGCACTTCCAGTCCACTTCCAGGTCCACCAGTGACTGGTGCCTCCTGGATCTGGCGGGGGGCACCCGGGTCCCCCTGCAGCTGATTGCGAAGCTGAGGTGGCACAGGGGGGGCAGTACTCCCTGGCAGACCCAGAATTGAACCAGAAATACTTCTGAGTTTGGCGCCAAGCATGTGGAGGGCCCCCCCCGCACTCCTGTGGGATGCTCCATGCACCCCAGCATCACAGTGTTCACAAGCCACACCTGCTACCTCAAGGTATGTAAAAAACTTCTAAAGCTGTGTCTGTGTCCGAATCGCTGATTTTCTGAATCCGAATCTTCAGATAAGGATTCAGCTGAATCGAATCAGGGACAGTGATCTGAATCAACTAATCAAATCGCTGTCCCTGATTTGGGCCGAACCCAATTCCAAATCAAATAGGACCCACTTTGCACACCCCTACTAGCTACCATCTCTCTGCAAATGATTATCAGATTATCTTCCTCTCTCATCCCTTCTATCCAAATTAAAATCTCAGTCTGTGTCCAGCTGGTATTCAATTCCAACTCAGCATAACTAAACATAAATCAAAGTTTTTATGGCAGAATTCTGTTTCATTTTACACACCTAAATGACAGTGTCTCAGCCAGATAAATGACATCTTGGAGCACTTACACAGTTTGTGATTCTAGTACCTATGCTACAGATCACGTGCAGTAGACTATGCACTAGTCTGGAAAAGTGTGCATGTAAAGTGAAATAGAATTACATCTTTATTCTCTGTCTCAGTTTTCCCCACTACCCCTTTTTTGCCATCTTTTTTGTCCTGTAGGCTTATAACCTGGGCATCATCTTTGACTTGGACCTCTCTGTAGGTCCTCACTTCTAGTCTAAATATAAGTCTTGTAGATTCCTCCTGCACTATATAACTAAGCTATAGCTATTTCTGTCTCTTGAAATAGCTAAAATGCTTGCCCAGGTTCTCAGCACCTTACATATTGATTAATAAAACATTATTTTTCTGGCTTTGACAAATGCTCTGCTGCTCTCCTGAATCTCACCCAGAATGTTGCTGCCAGGATAGTTTTTCTGGCCTACTGCCTTAACCAGGTCACTGCTCTCTAGGCGCCCAAACATTAACCCCCTTTTCTTTTTTTACAGCAAACATAAGCTCATTGTCTTCACTTTTAAAGCCTTTCACAACATATCATCTTTCATTTACTGTGAGATTTTGACTCTGGTCCCCAATTGTCCCTAAAGCCAGCCTTCATTACTCACTTTTTAAACACTTTCATGCTTTCTCCCATACTGCTGCTTGCATGTGGAGGTTTCTGTAAGCATATGTAAAATGCGTCGTCTACCTTCAGATCCCTTGTTTGCCATGATGCCTACACAAAACTTTATACTAGCTGGACTATTAGGGTAGGTACAGAGTCAAAAAGCCTGAGGCTAAATCGATTCTGTCTTTTCAGGTTAGTCTAAGCTACACAGATTAAATTGAAACAGAAGTGAACTTTTGATACAGGGAATGCAGCCACATGCCTGAAGTGGATCAGGCCAAAAGCTAGAGAGTGCTAGAGCAGGGCTCTCTGGCTGTGTGTTCAGTTCCTCTTCCTGCTGTCCCTGAGGTCTCTGGGATTTGCAGTCAAGTATGACAGCAGCAGGACTCTGCAGGGTTTTTCATCACTTCCTCTTCCTGCTTCCAGGTACCTGTGGGATTTGTAGTCCACGGTTGCAGCCAACAGTAAGTTTGAGTGGGGGAAGGGGTGTTTAACTCCCCTCCCTGGCCTTAGACCCCAACCAGGGTTTGTTGGGGGGCAGGGGGCAGTCCCCCAACCCTGCAAACTGGGCTGCATCCCCACCCTCCTCACCCCTTGTCAGCCAGCCGTCACTGCTCCAGCTAGGGAACAGAGGGGTGGGGCCAGCCTTGCTCTCTGGAGTAGACAGTACAGCCCAGCGCAGGGCTGGAAAGCATGCTGGGGGACTGTAATTTAAGTTAAACCAGGAAGGGGTCTGGGGCAGAAGTTTCATAAACCGGTTTGATCCAAATAATTTAAGTCTGATACTACATTCAAGCGGGTTTATCTTAAACCAGTTTCAGCCATTTTGAAACTGTTTTTTGTGCACTTAGCTTCTGTTTGGTTACAGGTTTAAAACAAATTCTGATCACTTACTGGTTTATGTGTAACTTCTGTCCCTAGCCTTAATGTGCTATAACTATCTGACTATCATGATGATTGTCCTATTGTTAACTTATGCTTTCTTATCTTTCTGCCTCTGTTGTTTCTTGTCTTAGACTGAAACTGTAAGCTCTTTTGAGCAAGAACTGCCTTTTTGTTCTGTGTTTTTGCTTCACTCAGTGTTGTGGGGCTGTGGACTCCTGGGAGCTGTGATGATGTTGATGATCATTTTTAGTGTGAGGTTGTAGCAGGCTATACAGAGGATGGCTTATGGATAATGCTGCCTTTATTTGACAGTGATTTTCTTTCTGTGGTCATAGTGTAAAGTGTGGAATATACAGGATTAACTAAGGGGAGAGAACAATTAACCAACAAACTAACAGAACTAAAGTGTTATTTGGATACTTGTGCTGACCTTGGATGTACTGTGGGATGTTATCAAAGGCCACTTTGCTTCATGTGACAAAGGCATTATCTGTCATAAGTTTATTTTACCAGTTGTTAAAGCACTCATTATTATGGCAAGTACTTGTTTTAATTATAAGGAAAGAAGATTCCTGCCCACTCTGCCCTCCTTGGCTAAGTACATACAGTCAAAAAGCCGAAGGCTGAACCAATTCAATCTTTGCAGGTTAGTCTAAGCTGCATAGATTGAACCAATAAGCAAGTGAAAAGATGTTCACTTTTGATTCTGGAAATACAGCCACATGTTGGAGTGGCCCAGGCCAGAAGCTGGGAGTGCTAGAGCATGCCTCCCTTTTTGGCTGGAGCCAGATAGCTTGGGCCAAGGCTAGCCTGCCTACCCTGTAAGGGAGGTGGGAGTTGTGCAAGAAGTGCAAAACATCATGGAATGCTGTGGGACTGAGAGTTAATTTGAATCTGGAGGGGATCTGGGACAGAAGTTCAATAAACCAATTTAAACTAAATCAGTTACGTTTAATACTATGTCTATCCAGGTTTATCTTAAATCAGTTTCAGGCATTTTGAAAGTGGTTTATGTGCACTGAACTTCTGTTGTGTTACAGATTTGAAACCGTTTCTGATCACTTGTACCGGTTTATGCATAATTTCTGTCTCTAGCCCTTGTGTATCCGCCCAACACATGCCATGGTTCCTTAGGCCCTGAATTTTGCTTAAAGCCTTTTAACCTGTCAGAGTTTAGGCAATTCTTCTTTGTCAGTATGAATGCACGTCACACGTGAATTTTGTCTCTCTGTAAAGCTATCTCAAAAGAACACATCCTCTGCTTTGCTTGAGAAGGCCTTATTGGTGTATGTTCTGAGCAGGGTTTATTTCAA